CGGTGTTGCGAGGCCGAAGTGGGGTGCTGCTGCCCTGCGCATCAGCTGGGGGCCGCAGCAGCGCCGTCCGGCAGCGCTGGAAAAATGATGCAACAGAAACAGGCCATGTTCGAGGCCAGATCCTCTCGCCCGGCTTTTAACGGAGAACTCTTTAACTCGAGAGAAAAAACAGTAAAAGGCTGAATTCACACGTACTATAAGAAGCACGCTGATGGACTGAAATCCACGTGGTAACTACCATTTCGCTTCTGTGCGCTTATCGGAGAGAAACCATTCCTCTTCGTCAGCACAAAACTCATCAACTGGCGTCCAGGGGAGGCAACGCGAGGCTCTGACCTCCTGACCGCACTGCTGTACTTTCTCAAGTAAACTACACGTACGTTTATCAATGTATAAAATGCATAAACCCATCAAACGTGCTTTGTGCTTGAGGCGGACAACAAAACCACACAATGGCAGGATGACGTTTGTTCCCGCACCTGTGCTGGGTGCCCTAAACCTCACGTCTGGCACAGGGGCATCGGCGCTTGTGCCTCAGGAAGCCCTCCTGCTCCCGAGGCAGCACAAGGTGCCCTGGCCGACCCCAACCGGCACACCTACACCCATCTTTTCATTACACAGAGCCAAAATACCCATGCTGACAAATGTAACACCAAAGCAAGACACGCTGTCCGGCATATACAGTTTCCAATATTCTCACTAGCACGTATTTAAAGGGGTTTTGTTCCTGGTTAACCTCCCAAGTCTGACCCCTCACTGACCATACATTCTAGTTCTTTACTAGAAACAGTGACAACTACTTTGCTTCCCACACCCTCACTCCAGAGGCTTAACCATGACAAAGTGAGCGTGCAGAGCACGGTGCGTCCCAGCCCAGGGCAGGCGCCGGTTCACCACCGTTGTCAGCCAGCCGCCCCGACACAGCGCTGGCAGGCCCCCACACCGTTGTCCTTCGCACACAGGCATTTAAGCCCCCATTGCTCAAAAGCATCCCTTCTCCCTGCTCCCTCCAGCTCTCGCTGCCCACCACCCAGCCACACACTGGAAACCCCACTGCTGTCTCAGTACCTGAGACCCTTTACACAGTCACAGCCAACAGCAAAGCGTTTTCTTTTGCTTCCTTCTGGCAGCTAAAGTTACATTTAGGGCATTTGGGGCCCTTGCACTGTAGACCCTTCCAAAGGGCTTGTTCCCCCCACTCTTTTTTGGAGGGGGGAGTTATTCAGTTAGATGAAGGAAAAGAGGGATAATCTCATTCAGAATCCTGTAAGAAGCTAAAACAAGGACAAAAAAAACCCTACTCTTATAAGACAGGGCTTTTGTGGATTCATTTAACCCTATCTAGAAATGAGTCTTCCCCTGTGCGCACAGTGGGCTCTTCACAGTTCTCAGCCCTGAGCGCTGCCAAGGTTTCAGTGTCTGGTAGGTCACTGCTTGACCTCCTGGGATGGGGGACATGGCAGGTAGGGCAGGAGCAGGCCCTGCACCACGGGGCACCCGGCGTCGGCTGGGAGCCCTGTGCCCCGTGCTGCCGCAGCCCAGAGGCCATGTTTCGCTAATGAGCCCTGATAGTCTCAGGTTCTTCTGACCGCTGGCCTCCATGACAGGGCCCAAACAGTGGTGACAAGGTGGATAAGGTAATAGGATCAAATTCCTGAACAAACCAAACTTTTCAGGAAAGCGCTGCACAAGTTTGTCACTGGCTATCAGCAAAATCATGGCGCGTGAGAGCTCTTCAAAAGCCTGTGATTGGGGCTTAAGTCATGGGACCTAGAAATAAGACAGAGCTAGAACTGATGGTAACATTCCCTAACCTATCCGCGCTCCTCTCTTTCTCTGTTGCAGAAAAGCGTCATGATCTCTCCTTTTAATAAGCTCTGCTTCCTGCACTTCAGTTAGGATCTGCAGCTTTCTTCTTTAAATCCATACATATAAGTATGTATATATTCCTTTCATTATATAGAGAATACAATATAGAACATGTATACACACACACACACACACACACCTATTATTCCTTTATTTTCTTCAAATATGAAGCATACCAATTATTTTCTCCATACTACCCTCTTCTGGACTCCAACCTCCTAATATTGTCATTTCTATTCCTCTTAACATTTACTAACACAATTTTGGCGGTAGTATTTTCCTTTCTTGTGGCCCTGACCACATTATCCCTACCACCACCCTTCCTCAACTCTGATCTTGTGTACAATTACACCCATACAGCTACTTCCCCTCCACCCAAGCCATTAATTGTCCACATTTCCAATCTGCTCCGTTCACTTTCTCTTGCTCTGCTTAAACTATTCTGAATGTTGAAGTGCCTCAAACCCTACCTTCCTTATACTTCAGAATTAAAACTTAAAGACCTATTCTCTAACTTGTTCCATTTATTGAAATAGATTACCTTTTTGGGTTTGTCTTGCACTTTTGACATCAGCAAGATTTTTAATAGCTTACCTCTTAGAAAGGAAAACCTGTCTTATCCAGTGCTGCTCTCACACGTAGAGGTCATACCAAACACAAGGCACTATGTAAACAAGGCAGACATCCCATGCACGTGGTAGATAACTGCGGAACATCTTTATGTTCAAATATTGCCTTTACTGAATACATACATACATACATATATATATATAATCTTTCAATTTCTAGACACCTTCAGTAGCCTTGCACTCAGAACACCTAAAAAAAAACCCAAAGCAAATAATATTGTTAGCTTGCTTATAGAAAAACTCTAAAATGCAAGAGTAGTTTTTTAGATACTTCAGAGTAGGAATAACAAACTCCATCACTTTTATTCCTCTAGTTTTTATTTTTTCATCCAAAGTGCAAGAATCCAATCTAAAACTTTTCCAGACTTTCCAGCAGTTCTAATATTAATCTTGCCATACTACAACCCCAGAGAATTTCAATCCCCTTTCAACCTGCTGGGACTACATCTCCACAGTGCATTGGGCGCATAGAGCCCAGAGGGCTTTTGGTGGTGTTTGTAAGGCACGCTAAGTTAATTGGCAGAAGAGCTGATTTACCATAAAATTAAAACAGAATGGCAACAAAAACTCTTCTGAAAAGTAAAATAAAATTACTGCAAAGCAAAAGCACGCACGTGAACACCTCACTTCATCTATCTTCCCACCATTAAGTCATATCAGCAGGTAGTTTGTACTAAGAAGACAGCTTGCAAGTATTAAGAATGTAACATCAGCTCCAGGCCTTTAGTCCATTATAGCGATTCTTGATCCCCCGGGTCTCTTGGCTTCATGATCTCTTTCTTTGGTGCTCATCCAAGTAACCATTCGCCAAAAGGAGAAGGATAAGCTGTCTCTCCTTTGAAATTCTTCTTCTGTTGACTTAGCACTCAGCCAGCACTGGAAAAAAACTCCCTCTCACTTCATCTGCACATCTTGATGCTGAATGCCTCCCACCAAATTCTCAGACATTCACTTGTAAAAGGCGACAGCCTTCTGTGGAGAGGTCAGCACCCAGGGCCAAATCCTCTGAAGTTTCACTGACTTCAGCGTTATGCAAAAACACAATTTGGCTCTGGGTTTATGGGAACAGAGCCGCCACCAGACACCCAGTGACACCCACCGGGGAGCACCAGGTCTCTCCTGAGCAGGGAAGAGCCTACATATCGTCCAGCCCTGTGCAGCATCCTAGCTAGGATAAGCGCTGTTCTCTCCAAATGAGCAATGTGTATCAGTGTAAGACAACACACCCTTGTCTTGAACGCTCTGCCAGTCGGTTGCAGTTTTCCTTCAAGTTCAGTCTTACCTGGTTAATCCTCAGCATTAAGGTGGGCTGTTTCTTCCTCCAGAGAGCCCCGAGGAAACACGACAGACTTACGAACTGAGAGAAAGGCAATTTGTACTTCTGGTGTTTTTTGAAGTAGAGTAGGCAGTTGTACTAAGATCAGAAAGGGGAAAGAGCATTCTCGCCCTCTCTCTCTCTCTCTTTTTTTTTTCTTTTTTAAATAAAGCATAATTCTTCAAACTTTCTGAATGTTACAGTCAGGAACATCTGTTCCGGATATCTCCTCCGGTTTAGAAAAAATGAATCACAAAACATGCAAGAAAAGGAAGACCCTTCGATAAACCCATGTTTTTCTTCCCCCACTTTGACAGTGTTAGACGACAGGAAAAACAATCTTGCTCAGTAAGGCAGCAGTGCAAGATATGCTTAAGGTCTGCTCAGTCTGTCCAGACATCTGGATAAATGAATTATAGTAAATGTCTCAATCTTTTAGAGAGTTATTTATGTTTAAGATGATTACACACTTCTGGAAAGAAATTACTGCCTAGCTGTAAATGTACTTCTTTCTCTCAAAGTCTGAGCATGAGTTTAGGAACTCAGTTGCATTTATTCCCCAGAATTCTTAATTCTTTCACCATCAGCAGCTGGGGATTTATGTTCTGCATGAATATTCATATTCTCACTCAGGAGCTTAATGCATGCTTCATCTGCTATATACGATGGAAACTATACAGTTAAGTCTCTGTAGCAAACTGATATTTTCTTGTCAGCATAAATGATAATAGAAAGCAGACTCATTTTTTCCTCACTTACTTTTGTAAATGCAGTTTATAAATAAACCTTTTTCATGTTTTAAATATTAATGCATATTACTCCTCATTGCCTGAGAAAATCCTCGTGCACTGCAATGTCTTTCTCTGCCACGTGTAACAGCAATTCAGCTTTTCATTTACTTTTCTGATGCTTTTTTTCCCCCACACTGTTCATCCATATTTCTTTTTTAAAACATAGGGTTATTCCTTCCCTCTTCACATTTTTTCTAGTACAAATACTAGAAAGAATTCGTATCTGCAATAGGAAAAAACATTTTATTTAAAACCTCTTATATTCTTCATCCCTATTCAGAAAATATTTGATTCCTATAAAGCATCGCTAAACGCTTGCTATGTCCTTCTAAAGCAAAATTTTCTGAATACACGCGTAATCCGAATGTGACCCCAGATGGACAAAACTTTGTTTTGGGTTGTCTTTACAAATAGTCGATGCTGGAAACATAACAACCCAGAATGGCTGAAGATAAGAGAACTAACAAACTGATGAGGCTTAAGTTGGAAGTAAATCAAGCTTGTTATGGTCCAAAATGATTGCGCTTGGAAAAAGGGCAAAACTGTCTAGAAGCAGTGACGGCTTGCAGATATATGAAGTACAGTAGTGACCTCAATTTACGAGAAACAAGAAACAGCGTTCTAAGCAGAAATATTATGAAGGTGAGAGTTCAGAATTAGCACAATCACTATTTTCCCTCTCTGTAATATGTATACTAACACACATTTTCTCCCTCTGTCTCCCTCCCTCTTTCTCTCTCTACATTATATATAGTAATACATATAAGTTAGCAAAATTACTCCAGACCAGGAAAATAAGGAAGTTACTGTAAAGCCAAGAATCCTCAAGAAAAATGCCTATGAATTACATAATTATTCTGAAAGCAAACATTATGAACTCAAAGAATGTGGAAGTTAATATTGGATTTAAGACGACATCCAAATTTATCAAGGTATGAAATTCCATAGTGGAAACAATCGTAGAAATACATCCTTTTCCCCACAGCATTGCATTAGAACCGTAAGATCATGATATAGGTATTTATCACCCCTGCTCCCATGCCACTGGATGGGTGGTGACTGAAAAGGTCACTGCTCCAGCTGTCCTCATCTCCAGGACAACAGTGGCTGAGCTGTCCCGGGCACAGGCTCCAAATCAAGGCAGTTTAGAGCCCTTTACGTTAAGGCTGCAGTCCTGTGAATTGTCCCAAAGTAACTTATCCCTCCCTGCTTATGACTCAGAAACGTTTCAGTTTCATTATATCACTACAAGGTAAGATTAATTGCTGTTATATAGAAATGCTTGGGCACGCACAAGAGGTAACTGGGAGATTCCCCCCCCCATAACAGGGACTATAGATGCATGCTTTTCTGAAAACCAGT